TCCACCTCTTAAGATCATGTTTCAAGACCTTCAATTTCCGATCTAATACATAACTAGGAGACCCCCTAAAGTCATAGGACGCCCACCAATTACGTACTCATTCCTCAAAACCTCCTACTTTTAGCCATATCCTCTCAAACCTAAAAGGCATTCTTTCACTGCGCCTTACATTCCCAGATAGTAAGATGGGAAAATTATTATAATACAACATCCCCAGTCTCCTTTACGTGACCTCTGGATACTTAGCCTCCCACTCCCCACATACCAAAAATCGATCTATTCGGGATAGAACAGGTTGATCTCGATTAGATGACTAAGTAAAGTCTCTCCCAATCAAAGGCAAATCCCCTGACATGTTCTCCCTAATAAAGTCTGAAAAGTTCTCCATAGCCCATGTTAATCTCCCCCACTAGACCTATCATTGGGAAATCGAATTACATTAAAATCTCATCCAATACACGTTGGGAGGTTCCACCAATTCATCATCCCAGCCAACTCATCCCACAATCCACCTCTACTCTCATCAGCATTAGGCCCATAAACTCCTATAAACATCCAATGAAAGCTATCTCCAATATTTCTAAACGAAAGCAATAGAGAAAATAGCCCTTCACTAACGTCCTCCAAATCACACTCTTATATCCCACATTACTAACATTCTTCCTGAAGCCCCCGATGACCCTGCAAAATGATACCCCACATGCTAACCACCACCCCCCCCATAAACTGCGCACAACAGCCCTCAAAACGACCTCCAACTTTGTTTCTTGTAGGCATACAATGTCAGCCCTCCATCCCTTAATAGAATCAGAACACCTAATCTTTTCTCAGCTTCATTAAGTCCCCTCACATTCCAACTAATTATTTTCGGAGTCATCTAAACACCTCATCATCCCTCCCCATGTGGCCTCTCATTGACCCTCCATCCTTAAGATCATAATTAACCGAGCATTCAAGACGCTTAAGTTCACGATCACCTTTTCTTGCCTCCTGATGTACCAGCCATGTCCCCTATTGACCTCCAGGTCCTCGAATAATTATACAAGCCTAATTTCATGCCCATCACATGACACACCTACCATCTTGCTGAAATCCAAAATTTTTTAAAGGACCCAACTCGACGGTTGAGGTATCCTCTCATCTTCGCCATACCCTCAACAAACATGAGATCAAAGTAGCGTCCCTCCTCGTCCTCCACCCGAACCATATCACCATATGTATCCCCCTTCTTGGCTTCTCCAACCCACACCACCAAAGCATTATCATTCCCTGGATCCCCTTCCTTTGGAGACTTAGAAAATCTCCTACAATAGGTATTCACCACCCTAGTTGCTGAGTCAATCTGCCCTTGCCGTTTCTCAGTAACCAAAGCTGAGCTATTGCCCACCACAGTCCTATTGTCGTGCTCACTATCCAACAATGATCCCTTTACAGAGGGAATCGTATCCAGCCCACCCTCATTTGTAGGACGATTGATCCTTCCATCAACTCCGAGTTCAGAATCGTAGTACCCGACTCCCCTACCTCGCTCCTAGGTTCCGTCTCTTGAGACGCCTCGATCATTGAATCCCTTACAACTCTATCTGTTTCCTCTATCTCGACCCTACTTCCATCACCGAAAGAATTAATAAGCTGGTTTCAGCTGATTTTTGTTGCAGTGTGTCACGGTGAAGGAGCTGAAATAGAAGACTAGTCGTGACACCGAAATAGCATATAATCCTTTTATGGTCTAGATAATCTACGCCTCAGTTTGGAAAATTTATAAATAGTTTATAAATAGGAAAAGTAGCGGATTGCACGAAGAGTTTCGATAATGATGAGTAGTATTTATGAATGTGTTGTTAAAATTGACGTTTGACTTAGACTGAACTATAAACCAATTTATAAATTGTATCCAAACCGAGGCTACTTTGCTAGTGAATTACAATGTCAACATATGAAAAAGATTGATTGAAAATAACTAAATTAACCCAGGTAACTTTGTGTTCACAGTGAGATTAAGTGTAATTCTACAGATTTCCAGTATATCCATAACAATAACGAACACGAGATCTTGACGGTTCCATGTCCATAGAAATAATGTACTTGGACATTGTAAGCAATAAAAGGGCCATAAAACATGTCCTCATGTAAAAATACTCACAATAACATTCACCATCAAGTCATTAAAAAAAAATCAGTGTTATTGCACTCCTTTGAATACTAACATAAATATAGTATGACTTGCTTGGAAAGATTTGCAAATGTAAGAAAACATCACATAAAATCATGAGCAGCATAACAACAGAGAAGGGAAATGGAAACATATTAACCTCCTCTTGAAGCTCCTTCCTTTTCATTCTTAAAAGTCCCTTGGGCGGAACTGGGGGCAATTTTTTCATCGGATAAGCCCTTTTGAGCTGAAAAAAGACGAACAAGGAGTAATGTTAAATTCATATGTTGCCACTATAACATTACTTACCAAAACTACAACAATTCCACCAAAATCAAGTCCAACAAACTACGCAATCAAATAATGTTATAGGGATATGATCAAACAAAATTCCAGCATATCATAACAAGCACTAGATAAATCTTTTAAATGTTTTAAGAAAAACAAAGAGCTTACATCGGAGAAGAGCTTCAAGAAGTCACTGAATCTTCTTAGTATTCCTCGTGAAGTGGTAACCCCTTCTGGTGACTGTAAACCAACCTCAACCCTGTAAAACTGTCATGTAAGAATGTTAACAACACAATATAACATCTTCTAGAACTTAGTAGATACACAATCTTCATTACACATAAGATTATTAGGTTCAATGGGTATCACCCTCTAGATATCACTCTCAAATGGAACTACCTTAAAACTTCACTTGAAATCCATCTATCTTACAACCAGCAACTATTCTTATTTTAAGCTCGTAAAGCAACATTTTTTCTTACTTTTTTTGTGGAGAGGGTGAGGAAAAGCTAAAAAACAATGGGAAAGAACTCACCTCAACTCATTATAAACCACTAACAACAACTCATTTACTATGAAGAGGGAAGGCTGAGAGCAGAGAGTGTAAATTAAATACTACATACATAAAGAAGATGAACAATAACTTCATGTTTTAAGAAGAAACAAAAAGAATATATCAAGAAAAAAACAAAAACGCATACCGCTACAGGGTCCGAACCATGTGGGCTAGATAAGATGGTCCAAGAAGGAACCATGACACAATAACTCCACCCTGTTCGAAAATCATGTGGCCATAGAGTATTTCGCTCATCCTACATTGTAAGCAAATAGCTTTAATTACAGGATGCATGGAATAAATAAGAAGTTACACTAATTACAGGAGTAGTCATATGTAAATATCATTGGTTAAAACAGGGAATATATTTAGCATAAAAGCTGATGCTTGTGAACTGTGCAAAGATCAAATAGCAATTTTGGATAATGTTCATCAAGAAGAGATCTATCATTCAATGATCGCGGAGTAACATGACAATAAGACTCTGAATCGTCTAACTTGCACTTATTGCTTCTCAAAGAATTCATAATAAAATTAAGTGCAATTAACCATGCTATGGAGGAAATACCCAAGGTAAACAGTACAGAAACATAGGATGTTGATTAACATTTTTACCATAAAACTAACGTTTTAATGAGAAAACTCTTTGCATGCTTTCTGATTTTACTTTTATTTATTATGGGGTAGACCGATTGGAATCAATAACAAGACTTGAAACCCAGTTCCTTATTTGCAATAAACGATGCTTATAACTAGTCTAAAATTGTCTGTACAGCAGCAAACAACATTTAATCACCTTCAATTGTATTTTTACTAGTGCAAACTGTACAGTGTAATGGTACCACATAAGCTTTACTAGCCGGATATGATCAGACAGTTCATGTGCGACTTGGAATGTTGATAATATAGCAATAAAACAGTATGGAACCTATAGAATAGACAACTGTTATAGCCACATTTTCCATGGAAAATTTCACATCCAGGAAAAACGAATTCCACTTTTACCGTTTGATTGCAACGTGGAGACAGAAACCGAATTTGAAGGTCCAACCATTTAAGCTTCATTTTCTTTGTTTTCATGGAAAACGAATTCCAACGGCTTGTTTGGTGGGTTTTTATTTTCCAACTAACAAGGAATTGAAATTCCTTTCCACCTTTGTCTATCAAACCTACCCTAAAAGTGAAAGCCCTCTACTCATTTCCATTTGTTGAAACTCTGAATTTCATGTAATTTAAGCTGATTTTCAGCCAAATGAGATTTGGTATTTAACGAAGTGAAGAATCAAGATTAATTAACAAAAACAGAACTCATAACGATAAAGAAACATGCGATACAAATTCATTCGAAACCAAACTCCAAAAGCGAACAAAGAAAATAAATTGTACCCAATTAAGTGGAGAAGGCCTCCAATCCATGCCGAGAGGAAGTGGAGAAGTTCCGTCGTACCGATGCTTCGGAGGACTGTCATTTCTAATACCACGATCAATCTTGTTCTTTTCGATTGCCGAAATTGAAGACCCAGCTGAATTATCGTGATATTCGAGGAGGAGAGAAGGATCGGCGAATCCCATATCAAGAATCGAGTAATCGAGTCTGAATAAATTCATTTTTAGGTATTTGTAATTGTAATTTAGTTACTCGACGAATTGCTAATGAGAAATTTCGTGTTTATTGAGTGGTGATGAACAAATTTGGCGAAGGATGTTTATCATTTTCAACTGGTACGGATTGCAACTTTCGGGAAAATTGCATGATGGTACCTAATCATTAGCATTTGTTGTAATATAATGTTTAAAAATGAGTAAGTTAGACTGGTCTAACTTTATTTTAAGTATTAGTTCCGAGAAATACTGTCTCCAAAAATCATTTAGAAATGGCATCCACAAGGCATTTGGGCACTATTTCCTAACTACATAAAAGAGTCAGTATTTTTCCTGCCACTTGTCGAATCCTCATGATGTTACCAAAAACGGCGTCGTTTCGTATGAAGCATTCAATATGGAAATCTACTGTCTACCACTCACTTTTTACATTGTCAGAACCCTAGCAATCCTCTTGCCTTCTCCAACCGCACGCGAAATCCCATATATCGGATTTCCCATTTTCCCTTCATTTGCCCGTCATTGCCCCAAACCCTCGATTTTCTCCTTCTCAATCCGGCAATGAAAATTCTTCCCACCTGCACTCGACAACAGCCTTCGTCGCCACCGTACTTCGGGTTCGATTCCTTCCTCTTCTATATATTGTTTCTGGTTTTCACTGTTCATTTTTGCCGTTTCATTTTTTTTTTTTTTTCGTTCTTCGAATAGGACTTCCCCTAGTCGTGTAGCCAATTAAGCCGATGCACCTTGAATCTGGGTCCTGCCTTCGTCGCCACCATAGCAACAAATTCCAGAGGCAAGTCGACTCTGGGTTCGATTCCTTCATCTTCTCTATATTGCTTCTAGTTTTAACTTTTCATTTCTTTTTTGCTACTG